AACTGGACGCGCGATTGGCAAGAGCCACAATTCGTCCTGGGAGAACTGAACTGAACTGTCGTACTCCGATTAGTATTGTTCGTGACCTTGGAGGCATGAGCAAGGCAAATGTTAATAAATTGATACATGGCTTCAAAATTATTCGAGTGAGGAGGAAATTCGAGTTATTTAAATACTTTATTAGTCTATTGATGTTCCTGAATTGAGGCTTCTGGCCATAGAGTTGGCACATTCCAAAACCTCAGCGAAGTACCTGCATCTTAAACGTGAAGATGCCAACAAAACGTTTAGGTATGTTTTTACCCGTACCTTGCGGGACAAAATAAAATTTCATTAGCGTGCAGTTTAAAACAACACCCACAAGCGATTCAGGAGTATCGCATATATTGGAGCATACAGTCTTATGTGGCTCCAGAAAGTATCCCGTTCGCGATCCTTTCTTCAAGATGCTACACCGTAGTCAGGCAAACTTTATGAATGCGCTGACAGGTGAGCAATAGCGGGAATTTTTTTCACTCCATAACCAGCTAGTGATTGGACGATGTATCCGTTTGCGACAATGAATGAAACGGATTTTCAAAACCTTTTCGATGTCTACACAGATGCGGTGTTCAACCCTAAGCTAAATGAATTGGACTTTATGTAAGTATTTTTGCGATTTCGCTAATTATAAACAGGCAAGAAGGATGGCGGTTGGAGCCCGAGGAGCTGTCGGAGGAGGCAAAACTGCGTCTCAAAGGAGTAGTATTCAACGAAATGAAAGGTGTATTCGTGAGTGTTCTCTTGAAAGCATTGAGTTTTTTAAAACTGGAGAGTTTTCGGCTTTATTTGTTGATTAGAATGACAGTTTATCTTAACCTTATTGGTGATCCACCCAAACTTTATTTGGCTCAGCTTGCACGGAACGTTGTATGACCCCGATCAATGGTGTGCTATCGGCTGATCTTGTGGCTTGCAACACTACAAGTCAATAGTTGTTTGTGAAAGGTAGAACGCAAGAAGCAGTATCGTGTCCTAGGCAATGTGACTCACTACGATTGGATACTTAACTACTACTTTGGGGAGTAAAGGTTACTCACTATGGTATATCATTTGCACCTTCAAAGTGCTAAGTGTTGTTGCAAGATTGGCAGGACCCCATTCCTGCATTTTCATTGGATAATGACACTCTGAAAGTAGTTAGAAGCGTTGTCTACCTTGGGAATTGCATAACGGCTGGCGG